ATGTTCCTTTGTTTCCTTTCTCTATTACAAAGTACCAACTTTTCTCATTTTAACCGATAATGTTTCAAAAAAAAAAAATCGGAGGCGCTACCCCCTAACCCCCGTGGGCCCCCACGCCTTCAAACTCATATCAACGCATTTCATCAAACTCATACCTTATAAGCACTTGTCATACATATTTTAAAACTCGTTAATTCTTTAGCAGGTTAAGAATGGAATGATATTAAGAAGGGTACTCCAAGTTTTTATATGTCGATTATATTGAAATTTATCCGAAGCTGAAAAACGAGGATTTGTTGTTTACTAATATTACTAAACGCGATCATGTAGAGGAGTTAGAAAAAAAAAATGGCGTATATACTGGAAATATCTGTAAAGGTTTTTCCTATTTATATCTGCAGAACAAATGCATCCATGGATTTATTTAGAAAAACTATGCCTTCACATTCCGCTTATGTAGCCCCCGATTAACGATGATTATTTCAAAGTTCTTTAATTTTCATACGCTTTTTCAATCATATTTTAACCACACACTCTCCAATAGATCACTATTCAAAAATCAATTTTTTCAAAATAATGGTCATCAAACAGAGGCATAATATAGTCAGAATTCGTTTAGCTTTTTATACATCATAAATTTTGTATCTATCTATTTTTCTCTTTATATAGACAAGTAAATATCTTACAAACATAATAGCATCCTCCTTGTTGATGGCAATTGTTTTGCAAGGACGAGACGTGCTACTTTTCTTTGTCGTTTTTAAAATCGTAAACATAAATATAGATAACACAACGAAGTACATTGACCTAAAAACTCTATAGAACTCCATTGTCAAAAAATCTTCAACCTCGTCTCCGACAAAATGTATTTAACCAAACAGGAACTGTCAGCACAAAGATCACCAAGCCGAAAAAAAGGATCGAAGACAGTTGATATTTTGATGGTCAATTCAGCTATCAATACAAAGTAATACGAGAGATTGAGTGTATGAGAAACAAGGATGCTGAAATTTGAATAAAGATTTACAACCGTATGTCTTATTTTCATTATTTCCATTGTAAAAAAAACTTGAATGAAGTGACTTGA